CCACCACCACCACCACCACCACCACCACCACCACCACCACCACCACCCGGGTCATCAGTTTCTTCTTTTGGAAATGTTTTTGGTTTTGGTTTCCTGGTTTTGGTTACCGAATCAGCGGTTTTGGTTACCGAATCAGCGGTTTTGGTTACTGAATCAGCGAGTTTTGGCTACCGAATCAGCGGTTTTGGTTACCGAATCAGACCGTTTGTTTACCGAATCAGACGTCGACCCTTTTCAACTATCTTGGCTTACAGATCTTGAAGCCAAGGGCCTTAGGCAACAGATAGGGCCTATCAGGATCACCGGAACCTCTTCGGAGTGGGGCAGTTGTTTGAGGGACTGGCCAGGCATCACTGCAGTCCATGCGAGCGAAACCTGAGGCGCTTGGATCGGGACGCCAAAGGATACGAGAGGATGGAAAGACCTCAAAAACTGCAGCATGTTGAAGATTCTGAGAGTGTAGGACAACGGCACACTTGCGATCTGAACCGATCCCGGCGGATCCTTCAATTCCTTCGGCAGGCTGCCTTCTCAGCAGCCTGTTCGCTCTTCTTCACGGGCGGGAGCGCAGGATTCGGCCATAACATGCACATCAGGATTCAGTTTGCAGAAGATCGCCACAAAGCAGTTGCATAATCACTCCAGTAATGGCAGGAGCTGATGCATTGGTAGGGGCAGGGCAGCTCAGAGGGGGCAATAGGTTCTAAACCTCAACACATGTATCCATCCTTGCAGCACAAGTCAAAAATATGCCTTCGAACGGGGCAGATTGTCCGGCCGTAGACTCATAGACTTTCAGGTGCAGGGAGAATCTCTTCACACCTCTTATGAGCAAGCTTTTGAGAGTCCCGGCAGCTGCCGGACCGCGGCTTCTCTTTCATGTGCTGAGGCCTTGCTTGCCAGCCAGTCCTTGCTTGACGCACAGGCCCGTGATCTGTTTGTGATTTGTTCGATATCAAAAGGAACAAGGCAGACCGGTTGAGGGGTGTCCTGGACTTCTGAAAGAATCCTTCAAACTTCAAAGAAAGTCGTGCAAGTCGGTTGAGCTCCTTCCGCAATGCCAGCACTGGAGTCCATGATTTGCAGCTGCACTAGATTGAACCCAATTCCAAGATCTGAATTAGCAGGACCATTTGTTGTGCCATTTCCAATACTCTAACAAGCCCAGATGGTTTTCCAATTCAGCTCTTGCAATCTCAACAACTGCTTGAGGCTCCTCGGATCTTCCAATCGCTGGAGCAGTTGCTGGGTCTCTCACAGGCCTTTTCTGAATCCAGCAGATGTATCATGATGCTTTTTCTATCTTTTTCTTACCAATCACCGCACGACGCGTCCAGTGCCTTTGGCCCTGTTGGCTCCCGGAAAATTGGGTTGGGATTCACCTTCAGGCCGTCGCGCGGGCGGCGAATGTGGATGGTGGGGCACCCTGTCATCACTGTATCGGTGGTATTGGTGGAGTCTCAAGGCAAGACGCTCCGCTTGCAAGTTGCGGAGTCGCGTGGTGGCGTGGTATACTTGGAAGAATGGCTTACGGTCGCTGCGTGTTCCAGAGTTTCTCTGTATCCTTGGCTTGATGATGTTTTGGAAATACTGAAGTTCCTTTTCAGCTCAAGCATCAGGGTAGTGATACGAGGGTTGAGGATTATTGGAGAAACGGAGAAACGTGATTCTTTACAGACCCGGTTCTGTTTGCTTGTCCTCTATTAGGTCGAATGCGGCTCTCCTTTGCAGCATCTTCCTGCACATTGTGGCTTCAGCCTCTGAAGATCTGGGTCAATAGTTGTGCTTGATTGCCGAGCTGGGTGCTACATTAGTTTGAAGCGGAACCAAAGGCCTTTCGCACTTGCACTGTCGGAAACCGAAAGGTTCATTGTTTCGTATTCTATGCAATCCGCAATCCAACTTTCTCGGCCAATCCGTATCATCTTCGAAGGTGCAGCTGGCAACTGTCTGACTACTTGTCACGAAAGTGGGAGGAGGCGGGGTAAATCATGTAAACAGCGTTTGTTCGACTTCTCTTTGTTTGGCAGGATCATATGGGCACTTTAGAGTCCCAAATTGTCTCCCACTTTTTGCACTGTGGAGAACTAGCCATCAGCGGCAACTCAACAGCTTTGGGTCATCAGGTCCTGTATGGTCCTGGTGATTTGAATATGTTTGAATGCCGTTCCTCATTTTGGCCTCAGTGTGATCATTTGGGATTCATGCTTGATGTTGACCCTGTTAATTATGGATATTGGCGACCTCTGGTCACTTTTGAACGAAACGACAGTATATGTTTTGCAGTCAGAACGCAATGCTGAACGGCTGAACGTTCGTGAAAAGAACATAAACCAAAAGCTGCGGGACCGGATGTGGGACCTGGGACCGGCATGGCTCGTCATTGTCCGATTAGCCGTTGTAATCTTACGGCTGGCAGAGTTGGTGTCTCCAGGTTGTTTGGGACAGCTTTGCAGAGCGTTTTCACCTCCTTTGTTCGGATGGCTCGAGATATCTCAGCACTTTCTGACCACAACACTTATGCCACATATATACATATACAGCATATACATGTCTCTTTTGATTCCTTTTCCATTGTGATGGCCATGGTGTCTACTTTGGAGAACCCCAGCCCTAGAATAATCGTGACATAGAAAGTCACGATTGCTAAGTCGCTGTGCGACCGCCAGGTGAATGTCTCTGACACACCCGAGGCCCATGGCCGCGCGGCTCAGTGGATTCGTCCGACTTCGGTCAGCGGTGCCCAAAAACGACCTTCTCTGAAAAAGCCCTGAGAAACGAAGGTCGTCCATTCTGTCTCATGAATTGGGCGAACTCACCGGCCGACCATCGGGAGTCGCTTGTCTGGCGGACACGACCCTGCCCAGCAAGCTGGCACAGCAACTCTGAGCGATGTCCGGAGTTCGTTGCAGGATTTGGATGAGGAGAAAGATTCCAGTCACCACCTGAGTCAGGGACCAAGACATAGTGGACACTGCATGTTTGTATATTGTGACATGCTGAGACGCAACATCTCGGCTGTGATAACAAGGAAGGTCCTCAACGCAAGCGCTCATGCCGCTTCACCGAGGTGTACTGAACCGGCGCATTAAGCTCCTTGCTCAAGCAGGCCGTTTTTTCCGGGAGAGCATGGGCCAAAGACAAGTCGGCCAACTCAAGGGGACGCCTAAGATGCCTCTGATACATTTAATATCATTTAATTTATACTGTTTGAGATATAGGACGGGATTCCTTTGATCACTGCAGAACAACTGAAGTGTTACACTTGAGGCTCTTCCCTGAGACGAAGTGTCAAGACCTCCGCTGACTATTGGGATCACAGGCGCAGCGCTCACGGCGCTCACGGCGCGCAGTTTGCGAATCAAGCGATTTTGTGGACAAATGTAGACAAAGCTGGATTCTAACAATTCTTGTGGTTGGTTAAAACAAATTGTTAAGCATTCAACCTTTAGTGGTTGTTGGATCCCATTTTTGGCCTCCTGCCTTACCCCAGGCGACGCTTCATTCGGTGCTTGGCGAAGCCAGGCTGGGACAGGGTGTTTTGCGATGGGCATGGTGCACAGCCAACGGGGATGTCTTTCACAGGACAACCCCTACCAACCTTGAACTGCTAAATATCCACAAAGTCATGGATTGGACCTGAAGGTTCCTATCTAGCTGGCGTAGGACCAGCCTGTCCTAATGGCCCGGAGGTGGAGGTGGTGCGAGCGAAGCGGACCTGCGCTTGCAGGGACTCCGAGGCTCCAGAGGCTCTGGAGGTGGAGGACTGGAACATGTTGACAAGATGAAGGAAAGTAAGACAAGGTAATGGATATTCATATGATATTAAGTAAGATACTCCTATTCACCTTGGACGAACGCTTGCAGCAATCTTGGTCAGGCCAGCTTGAGACACCCCTTCAACCACGGTCTGACTTCGCTAAAGACTGCAACGTTTGAGCCATTGAGGGGGGCTGGGCAAATGATAAGGGACTCACAAAACAACGATACCATATGAATCCCTATGAGTTTCCCAAACATTGGGAAACGATAGGGGACTCACAAACTTGATGCAACAGCCCCTAACTCATGTGGATGCATGGAGATGCCGAGGCTCTTTCTACCTCGAGATGCCAAAGCAACAGAGCTTGCAGCTCATGTGCGACGGCTGAGGACGGGAGAGAACTGAAGAGGAAATGGAAAGGCCATGTCAAGACTTTAGCAAAGAAGCTCGAACATCATAACCCGGTACTACTTGTAGTAGCGTCTTGCTATTAGTAGCGATGCCAGGAGCTACGTTCGTAGCGTCCTTGCTAGTAGCTAGACAAGAATAGTCCCATAGGTGCACACGCCAGGAGCCCCTAGTAGCTTCTTGCTCCTAGTAGTGAGGCCAGGAGATGCCAGGAGCCCCTAGTAACGTAGGAGCCCCTAGTAGCTTCTTGCTCCTAGCCCGGTTCGGGTCCCGAACTCGTCGTCCTCGTTGTGGTGCCAGTGGTGTGGTGGAAGACCTGGTGGTTATGTCGAGCCGCAAGCGGAGCCTCGAGGCATTGGGGAGGTTTCGGGGGAAAGGTCCTTTCGGGGAAAGGAGAGGTCTCCGAGGCCGGAGAGGCGTTTTCTTTTTTTGAAGGGATGCTAAACATGGAACATGTAATGAATGAGAATGGGGAGAACAACCTGGTTGAATGGAGGGGAATGGGAGGAATGATGTTTCTCATTCACATCCTTTGACTGTTGACCAACAAGCACGCCACAATTGAAAAAGAAGCAGACATGGAGCATGGAAGTAACAAAGTAGAAGGATTGCAGGACAGGAGCTGCTTGATCCACGGGTATGCTGTCGTCTTATTCCAAAGTCAGACAGCTTGGAAGTTCTCGTTCAGATTTATTTATAGCCGTGTGAAGATACCCTTGGAAGATTAAGTTTCCCTAAGAATCTAGGAACCAAATGATTCGTGCGAGCATGAGCTATCCTGCGTCCTACCTACGCTTAAGCTACTAGCTATCTCTTCTACGGCCTAGGCCCCCCCGCCCGAAAAGCACATTGTTTGTACAAGTTGGAAAGTGCGATGAAAGTGCAATGAAGTGATAGACAAAACTACTCAGCACCTCCATGACACGTTTAGACTCAATGCGACCTCTCCTCGGGCCCAAGGGGATCATCGTATGTCAAGCAAGAGCAGCAGTGCAGCAGATTAGCAAACATGTGATGATTTGTGGGATGTGCGCATGAACGAAACAATTTAGTTTTGGACATGGTCAAAACCACATACTTCTTCAGCTCTGTCAGCTGGTCATGGTCACCTGCTCTGGATTCCACATCTTGATGAGGGCAGAGGGTCGACCAGATCTGGAGGCTCCTTGGGGGTCGCTGAGGAATGAGCCCAGAACGCGGAGAGAATAAGGAGCTGAGGAATCTTCTAGGATATCGTTACTGTGACTTTTGGATGCTTTTGGACCTTTGGCATCGCTTACTGAGGATGCTTGCGTTCGTGCTTGCTCTGAAGTCTGATCACTCCTGATCAGGTTGTATGTCTGAAGATGGCCAGTGGGAAGAATGCGAGTGATGCTTGGCTTCACAAGAGCCAATCGTCCTGGTCAATTGAAACAGAACGGTGTACTTTACTTTCTTCCAAAATAGAATGACGAGATGAACACTTCCATAAACTTCGCTTGGGCCATTGCTAGTAGGTTGGAGGCCAACGCTATTAGGTTGGAGGCCATCGCTAGTAGGTTGGTGGAGGTCTCATTCCGGTTCCTGAAAAAGAGCACCTCTTGCAGGCGTATGACGGCATATCACCATGAGTGGCTCATTGTGACTCACTGAGTTTTGATCTGGGGCCGTTGCCACCAACTACTCCGCGCAATCAAGGTGAACCACCAGACTATGGCAGCCAAGACTTCTGGGAGGCGATGGTAGTCTATGACAATGAAATTGGGGGTACTTTCTGTTTGTGGAAAGAGTTTGAGTCTTCAACGCTTTTCTTCAAACGGATCCCTTACAATCTCTCTTTGTGACATTTCCTTCACCAATTCTTTCCTTGCGTAATCTCCCTAAGGGATAGAAAGGACCCCTGAACCGTGCGACAGATTGAACTATAGTGCTGCTGAGGGAATGGTTTTCAGGGTCCACCATGTCCTATCTGAAAGAATTCCAAATGCGACCAGACTTGAAGACGTTCCTCATTGCGCCAGGCACACTTCTCACAGGCCAGCAGTGGGGCCGCGACAGACCCAACGGCCTTGGAATTCGAGTGGCTCAGTGCCTTTGGCTTTGAAGTCTTGCAACGGCCTCATTTTTAATCATTATTAGCAGAAACAATCTGTGCTGGGTAGTTTGGGTGCTACACTTGCCTTCCCTACCAGTGACTACTTCAACCAGGTTGAAGTCTCGCGACTAGCTATAAGTGGCATGTTGCATACAGCCAGCCAAATCAGCGCTCCCCAAAGAAACTGCTAAAACATTGATTAAAACGGCAATAAGTTACAACACGATCCAATGACATGCCCTGACGCCTGAAAAAACCATTTGTGCCTACAATGAGAACAGCTCCCTGTGGTATATTCAGACATCAGCAGACACTTCGGCATGTCAGACCTCAGATCCATCTCCGAAACCACGACCTCGGACCGAGCTGTTCCGGCGTCGCTCCGCAGGGCGCGTCGCTTCGGCCGAGGTGGAGATTGGAAGGTCCTGCTGCCTCTCTTGACGCCGCATCTGCCCGAGGCGGGGCGCACGTCGGACACGTCGGGGCGCACGTCGGGCATGTCGATGCGATTCGTTGGGGTGAAAGGTCGGGTAATTGCCTGGGTAGGTAGATCATGGTAGATCTGATAGTGGGCAGATTGCGAAATGTGGCCAGGTCATCTATTTTGACCATGAGTATTGTGGTAGGTTCCCGCACTGCAGGCGAAAGCAGAGAGAGGTATTTGATGGTAAATGGTAGTTGAGGTATTTGCTTATTGCTAGCATCATTGTTGATCAATAACCAGGCGGCTAGAATTGTGGCAAGTAATTATATAACATAGGTCTTAGAATTTAAGATGTGGCCTGGAGTAAGTGATTGAAATGCTGAGCATTGCTGAGCCGTACTTGACAATGTTCTATGCACGCTGTTGGCAGGAATAAACAAGAGGTGCAGTGTCTCCTGAAAAAGTTTTGTTGTTGACACTTGTGCTATTAGGTTGGAGGCCATCATTATCAGGTTGGAGGCCATCGCTAGTGGGTCTTGGCACTTTCATGTGCTGGTATGTTGACACTTTCCATGGCCCTCTGAACAGAAGGCCTTGGACTTACCCGTGCAGGGTGGACGTATCCTTCATCCCGGCTGTGGCATGTGCCTTGTTTCAAGGGAGAACGCAGTTCTATGTTGGGAGGTTTAAGTGCTTCTTTGCATGTGATCTTTTTTCGTACATATATCCTTGTGTTTTATAGGTTCGAACTGCATAATATTGATGTCTGGATGCTGAACGGTTTGATCTATCTTAATTCAGTGATGCTTGCATTTACTCGTCTCATACATACAAGGTCACTTTTGCCGATCTTTCTGCAAAGAGAGGCCTGGAGCCCAGGAAGAAAACAAGGTTTTAAAAGCCATCGAATCAAAGCCATCTAAACCCGTCGGTTTAGAATCAGCCGACTTTCTGTTCTGCGTTGCGTCGGTTGAACCCCACCAGGTTCATGGACAGATTCTCAGCGTGGACAGCAGTGGGGAGCCGCAGATCCAGCAGGTGGAACATGGTGGAAGAGCTGGTCTCCAGCTGTCTGGGAAAACCTCCAACTAACTTGTGGTTTGCGGGGAGGAACCACAGACACTGGGAAGCATCTTCATCCAGAAACCAGCTGCCACAGGGAAGCAGCCGCACTCTGCAGCTTCACTTGCAGCCATTGATTTGGCAATCCTGACGACATCCGCCTCCAAGCTCTAGATGAAACTTAAAGACCTGTGATTGCTCAGAGAGCAAGGACGTTGTTCAATCAGTGCAATCTATGGAATCTGCCAAGGGTGTCCAGCTGTTCTTGGTCCTTGTGTTTCTGGGCAAAGGTGGCAGTTGTATCAACCTCATGCGAGAGCGCTACACCGATCATCCTGGCCTTACCTGGGAGGCTCTTGGGCATTTACAGTGGTTTGGCCAGGTTCGACTTCCGCTATCATCCTGTACATAGGAGAAGGTGCCCTTACCATGTACCCAGCTGTCTATTATAGTCGTAGCCCAACAAATCTTTCCTTCCCTCCGTTTGTATAGGTTAGTCGGATCCTTCCACATGTTTGGAGAAATATAGACGCGAGACTTAGTCACTGTTATGTGGCATGGCAGGTACTAGATGTAACTAAACTGGATGAGTTGGAGCCGACCTTCGATGCCGCAGTGGAGAAGGGATGCCGGACAGCCCAGCGAATTTCCACACGGCCACCCATCCGAGTCTTTCATGGGGATCTGGAATCCTGCCACCCACGGCCACCCATGCCTTTCCGGTGTTGCAGCCTGGTGAAATGGAGGGCAAAGAGCACACAATTTGTTCAGGTTTGAAGGGCATAACGTCGGCGAGATTAACGTACATTTCACTATGCCAAAAACCACCAAAGGCATCGATGTGTTCAATGGGTGGAAATAGAGCATGATGGCCCAGCGGTTTTTGAAGAAGAGCTGCTGCCATCTCGAGTGTTGAACTTCTTCCATTCATGTAGAAACATGTTGACAAAAGAAAGGTTGTGTGCAGATCACTGTTTTCACCCATTCCTGTTTTGTCCTATGGAAAGTGGAACTTTGCTCTCCACAGGTCAAGTCATTGACAGTTCTGGTATCCGATAACGAAGCATTTGTTTCTCACAAAACGTCCCACCCAACTGCACTACGGGAAACTGGCCCTTGGCACGGAGCAAAGCCACTTGCATGGTTGAGTCTCCCGTATCTCGATAGATCACTGTATGACTTCTATCTTATGCGGCAGAGCATTTAAAGACTTTTCCAAGATGGCCACAGCGAATTGTTGATTTGCAACCTTTCAGGTTTGGATGCCCTGCTTTGCTGCAGTGATCAAGAGGCGTGGAGTGCAAGAATGAACAGCCTGATCGCTGCAATCGCATCAGTGAGCAAGGAAATTCGGAAAATAAACACCCTCATGGAAGAACAAATCCTGCTCCACAAAACTGAGACTTCAATTTCCTCAGACTTCAATCCCTGAGAACTTCTAACTATGATGGCCTTGAACATGAATTCTCATTCATTCTCACTCACATGAATGCTTCCGAAGCTTGGAGGGCCACATCTGCTCAATGCGAATGCGATGCGACGTTCAGGGAGGTATGGTTTGTGCGCATTCAAAATGCCTACCAACTATATAGTATTTTTTGCTGCGCCAAAGAGGACCATTCTTGGGATTGTGTGATAGAATGACGGTCTGTGTTTGTGGACCTAACTTATGTCAAGGGCCCCTGGACAACCTTGGTCGCGACTCCTAAACAATGTTGCCAAAGGCAAACGGAAGAGAGCCTTGTTCGACAGAGATTACTAGTTTGGACAAGGATAAATCGTTCTTTACCCTGTCACCTACCAGTAGCCGAACAAACCCCAGTCCATGATTCTTTACATGGAGAAGCATTCCCCAGCTTAGTCGCCATGGCGATGCTGCAGCAACGGCCATCTTTTGATCGTCCTGAAGCGCAGGCAGTGGCCAATGTAGGGGAAGATCACGAGGCTTTGCACTAAGTAGAAAACCAATTGAAACGGGATCCTCTTTATCTTAAATAATTCATTGCGGGTTTCGAAGGTCTCAGTTTTTTGAAAGAGCACAGCTCAGCAACATGGCACAGATCGCAGAGGCGCCTGAAAAAGCCTGGGAGCAGATCGCAGAGGATCTGAGGCCAGACCTTGAGGTCGCACAGATCGCACATGTGACTAAATCCTGGCGTAGTCAACAAGTCTAACAGGTCCACCAGAGAGGTATTCCAGGATGTAATAATATATTATATATTATATAGTCTAATATGTCCTATATTGTTGTTGGTGTGTTTATTCATTCCAACGTTCCTATCCCTGGTGAACACCGTTGGCACAGGCGCAAGGGCGGTGTGAAGGACAGCGATGAGTTTACGCCAGCGGCGTTGATGCACGTGGGGTTCATCCAAGATGAACTGGTGCAGAAGGCACAGCTTCGTGGATGCATGTCTTGCTTGGCACATATGAATTGGCCATTTCATTCAAGGGAATGACGGAGCGAATACTCGAAAAGAGCAAACAAGTATAGAAGAATGGACAGTATACGCTCCAGTATACTTAGTTTGCTGCCGCTCCCAACACCCGAAATTACCTTGAAACATGAAGATCGAAGATGACCAACGCAAATGGTCATGTTGCCCACCCACATCCATCCTCCACGCTGTGCATATGTCGCAGGCACGGCTGGAACGTTTGGACCAGCTCCTCCACACTGCCTGCCCTGGTGCCCCAAGCCGCCCAGAGCACGAAACACTCTTTTGGTCTCTACTCTCACGCTGGCTATTTGCTGTGAGATTGGCCATGCTTACGTCTCAAACATCAGGAACAATAGACTTTAATCGTCAGCAGTGCTCGTGCTGTTTGGGACCTCACCGGTTTTTGTGTTTCCCTTTTAACATCGCTCCGCCAAGCATAGAACCTTTGTCTCTTCGTTGGGAGTAGAGCATAGTAGACATCCAGCATGTGTTCTGTTTTTCCTTCCTTTTGTATAGTAAAGCCTTGTATCGCAGGCACCGACATAGGTTGTAAAGGATTCATTTTGTTTCATTCTTTTGCTTTTTGAGGGTTTAACGGTTTGCACCTTGCGACGTGAACACAGCAGGTTCCTCAGTAATATGCTGAGGAGAGCAAGAGACAGCCGAGCCAACCGCGGAGGAGTTTGACGCCCTGCTTTGCGGAGGAACCTTGGCGCCGGTCGCGTGGTCGGTTACAAGAAAATCACAGCGCAATTGAGATGACAAAAGGAAAGTGAGGCCCGCGTTTTTAACAAGGGACCTTTTACCCCCTTGACCTTCCTTTTTTCATATCATAGTCTTTCATTTTCTTCTAACCACACATCAAAGGATGAAAAAGGAAGGGGTCCCCGCATAGTCCCTCCCAGTAGTCCCTTCATGTCCAAAGCGGTTCAGCACGATGTGCGGACGCGAGGCGCCAATGGCACCGGAGTCCTTCGTGGAATGATGCGGAAGCTGGGCCTGGACTGCCAACGGGAGAGCCGTGGCGTCCATGGTTTGGTGCGGAGCAGGCCTGGTGGGAAATGCCTTGGGACGGGCCTTGGGCCTTGGTGTTCAGGGGAAAGGTCTTTGACCATGGATCTTCTGTTCCAGAAAACAGGTTTAGTCTGCAGCCGCTTGCGCGAAGATCCGCTTTCCTAGGGTCAATTTCCAAGTCGGCGTGTTCAGGATCAAAAAGCTGGAGCATCGCAGAGAAGCGGCCTCTATGCTGATGGATGAGATGGAGAAAGAGGCAGGTAATGTCAGGTAATGCTCTCATCGATGGGAACAGTCGACATGTAACGTCGCAGGAACATAAGATCTGGAGGTAGTTTCCGGATTTCATTTCTCTCAGGTCTGCTTTTGGCTAGCTCTTTGGAGCAGTCAGTAACCGAAGTCAAGGGCTACTTGTACTTTTCCTTGATTCATTCAGTTTGTTTGGATTTGCCAGTTTGCCCTTGAGGTCATAGCTTTGGGCTACCAGATGTCGGAACAGGCGCGAGACTTAAATAACTTGGTGCATGCAACATCTCTTACCGGGAGAGCTTTCTCCCAGTTTCTACCTATTTTTATAAATATATTTGTATTATTTGTTTAAATAAATCTCTCTCTCTCTCTCTCTCTCTTCCGCTTTGTCTCCCTTTCTTTCTTTCTTTCCAGAATGTCCAGACATGTATAACTATATATACATAACACAACGCACTGGACCATTACATCATTGGCCGCAGATTTTCAGACGTATTCGAGGATGTCATTTGATGCAAAGCATTCAGCAATGCGTGCTTTCTGTGCAATGATAACAGTGCTTTTTCGCTGCCAAGCTTTCACAAGCTTTAAGACCTTCACGTCTCAAATGTAGCGCTGCTCTTCAGGTCTCGACGCTTACAAAGTTGAGCGGAGGTCAGAATCAGCTCATGGAGCCTCATTTTCATTTCGAGAGTGGGTTGGCTGCCGGTTGGCTGGTGAGCGGTGGTTTAGGCGTCCACCAACGATTGAATCCTTCAGTGATGTGCTGTGAAGGTTTGAACTGGCCAGAGGTGCAAGGAACAGATATTGTTTTCTGGCCGCTCTGATACTCTTCAAGTCTCATGTCCAACCCACCCCGGCAAGCCGAACAAATCACCCCAACCCAGACCGCAGAAGGGAAACACAAGCGAGGGAAATCCTTTGATTTGTGCTGGGAAGTCATCCGTGATCTCGACAAAAACGTGGGTAACGCCCATGATGAGTGGACACACTTAGGGGTTCTCACGGTGGTGGTTAAGCAGCTGTGCTTAAATCGCTCTGCCGCGCGGGCGTGTCCGGCTAATTCGCTGCTATTTACAGTACATTCATGCCTCTCGAAATCGTCGACATGCATTTCGACTGCGCAGGCTCGCAAAATCTGGGTGGCGGCGGCGAGTGCTTGTCGCGACTGCGCTCTCGTTGTGGTGCCGTGCGCACTTTCGCACACGGTGGTCACTTTGCGTGGCAGGCACAAGGGAAGCCTCATGGTTTGGTGGTCCAAAGTTCAATGTCGACTTTTCGTGACAGGCGCAAGGGACTTGAGCGGTTGTACTTCGAAATGCAGATTTCGTGGCAGGTGTAGTACCTTCGACATGTGACATGGCCGTGATCTTCGAGGTGCTCTGATTTCGTGACAGGTGCAGTGAATCATGACTTTTGGACATGTGGCTCGTTTGCAGATTTCGTGGCAAGTGCAGCACTTGACTCTCGAAGTGCAGATTTCGTGGCAGGCGCAGTACTTTGTGAACCTCGAAGTGCAGATTTCGTGGCAGGCACAACACTTGGTGAACCTCGAAATGCAGATTTCGTGGCAGGCGCAGTACTTTGTAAACCTCAAAGTGCAGATTTCGTGGCAGGCGCAGCACATGGTGAACCTCGAAGTACAGATTTCGTGGCAGGCACAGCACTTGGTGAACCTCGAAGTGCAGATTTCGTGCCAGGCGCAGTACTTTGTAAACCTCGAAATGCAGATTTCGTGGCAGGCGCAGCACTTTGTGCTCTCAAATGCTCACTCTCTCAATTTCACTCTCACCCTCACTCTCTCCACTCACACACGCTCACGCTCACGGTCACTCTCACTCACACTCACTCTTCACTTACATTCACATTCACACTCACACTCGCTCACACTCACACTCTCACTCACACTCACACTCACTCTCACCCACACTCACTCTCGCTCTCACTCACCACCATCACCTCTCTGGACCCCGATGCGTCTAGATCTCTAGACTTTTTGCTTGTAGACCTCACGCACACTGTTTGGGGTCTCTTGCCGGGATATTTAGTTTTTTGATCATCGGTCTGATTCCATCATTGAGCCCCCAATGATCTTGGGGATTTCGGCCCCGGAATCCCATGTCCCAGGATGATGACAGCAGCTGCTTGGCTGAACGAGGGTCGATGCTTCAAGACCTCCCCACCTGCGGGGAGCCAATTAAGTGTTCTAAACACCTGCAGTGGGCAATCAGGGATTGGCGAGTTACAGGAGGTACAGTTTTTTTTCCACAAGCTGCGTGAGGCACAACGTCGACGTTTGGGAAACTGAGTTTTCTTTTTTTTTTCCCATGTCCATGGGACTTGGGACTTGTTTTAAACCTTTCCGATGTAGATGTGATTTCTTTTTTACTCTGTCTCAACATAAGAGAATCCCCATCTTCGTTTCTATATTTACGGCCTTTGCAGGTTGCTTCATTTTGACATCGATTCAAGGCTGCTTGGAGCACTTGATTCCCACGAGCCCTTGTGGAGGAACAGCTAGTCGCACAGAGGTGCCTCCATGGGCGGGGCGGCGCGCCGTATGGCCATGGCATGCCATAGAGAGGAAGAACTAAACAAGAAGTTCTGCAGTTCTGCATTGGCACATCAGCGTAATAGCTTTGCAAGATTGCTCAAGGTCCATGTTCCCTCACTCTCGCCGGCCCGAAGAGCCTCCAGCCAGATTTCATGGTTTGGGTCGCTTCATTCACTGGGTGCTCCAATGCCACCATTTTTCCTATGCATGCAAGTAAAGTGTTGGACAATGATCCAGGAAGGACACTCTGAGAGCCTTGGGATGTTTGTGTCATCTCGGACCTTGTGTAATTCAGTTTTATGGTATTTGGAAGGCATTAGACACAAAATAGGTGCGTCAAATGCGTCATGTACATGCGATGATCAAACTTGCGAGTTCTGTGTCCAATCTTGTCCAAGATCCAAGCTTTTCTGAGAGTCTCAAGATTGTCAAGGGTACTGTTTTTTCTCATCTCACACATTTTGTTGGCCTTGCAAGAAGCGGCCCCAGACAACAAGGCCTGTGTTTCCTGACGAAATTGAGAGACCACCATCCATCAGCTCTACAATGCGAAAGGGTACTGAAGGATTGACAGCGCTGCTTTGAGGGTTGAAGGATGGTGGCGTGAGTCAAACATGGTGTAGGTGACAGCGCTGCTTCCTCCTGGGCCTGAGCTTCGCTGCGAGCTACGGGAACAGCTCAAACAAGCACAAGAGGACCGAATGATACCATCCATAGCTGAAGTCTGTTTGCAACTCTGCAGTGCATTGTTGTTGGTAAGCCCATTGCTTGCAGAAATCTGAAATAGCAGGTGCTCAGGATTGGCCCGGCGGCGAGATCTCCATTAAAACCACTAAAGCCGAAAGAAAACACACTTGGTCAAGCTGAATGTTCTGGCATCTTTGGATTGACAGTTGGCGAAACGCAGTTTTCCCAGCTGATTGAACCATGTTGAACCCAGATTCAGAAGAGGCAGATATAGGCAGATTGTGCCTTCGTTCAGTGCAAGAATGCATTGATTGACTACACGCCAACCTCACTCCAATATCGAGCGTTTGCGGAGGTGAGGGAAAGTTGTCTTGAAAAGAACAGCTTTCTGCTTCGGTGCTATTGAGTCAAAGTGTACTGTAAGTGCTAGTATTCCCTTGAGGACCTCGAGGTGGCACGCGCGGAGCTTGCCGCTGCAAAGAAGGCTCAAAACAAGCTTCTGACGGGACGGTCAAAACAACGCGTCACATGGTCATTTTACAGGAAATGAGGAACATCAATTCAACCCTTCCAGAAGACACCAAACGGTTCACTAACCAAGGTTGTCTTTGTAAATGATAGGCATTTGACTTGCTTGTAGGAGATTATGTGAGTCACATAACACATATGAAGTATATTATAGTCAAGCCTATAGGTGTACTTCGCGACGGCAAACAATTCCGTCGCTGATAGGTGGGCGCCAGCGCTTGGGAGAGTGTAAAGCAGGTCTTGCAGGAGACCAACTTGCATGATGGCAGTGTAAAGCAGCTCTGTCAGTTTTATGGACAGTTGGAACTATTAGATCTAGGCTAGCAAGCGTCCAGTTTATGACATTTTTTCTGTGCATATTCAAACACCCCAACACTTGCCCGACCTCAGGTGTCCAACTAAGGTCTACCTGAAGCAATGGCACGCCAGAAATTTACCCTGGCAATCAACGGTTTTAAAGGATAAATCTATGAGCTAAGCCTTTGCGGCAACAGGGTCAGTTGGCAAGAAACGGGTGGATCTGCCCAACAAACACGATCACTTGTAAAGTATTAATAGTATATATTATTTAGTAAGTATTATGACCCATAACATCTCAATGCCCTAAGTCAGGCCCCAGCATTTCAAGGGCCAATCCCTTAGTGTTCCTGCTTTGGCAACCAGGACTCTCAGCCAGAGGCCTCTCTGCTGGACGGCCGTCGAGCTTTGCTGGCCTTCGCGCGGGGCAAGACCCGGGGGACCATGACGCTTGGGAGCAGGTAGGGCCCGCGTGGCCGGCCACTGCCCGGCCGGGTGTTCTTTTTTGGCCATGGCTGAAGGCACTCACTTTTTAACAACATAATTTCGCCATGCTTCTTCTGTGTGCCACAATGACAGGACAGTAGATGAGCACTGCAAAATTGTGAGCTCAACCATGCTAAACGGGACACACCTTTCGGAGCACGGGTGATTGGGGAAGCGCGACCACCAAAGTGGGACGCTGTTTTGGTGTGTGGACGTGCTTGGATTTCCTTCCTGGGCGTCCTTTTTCTTATCATGCCCAGAGCACAGCAGAAGACTGCCACCATCTGCAACCCCCGCTGGCACCGGTCGAAAACGGACAGATCGACTGCCTTGATGCTTCGCGGACCGGGTCCGCGCAGGGCCTGAAGAGACGTCCACAGACCTCGCTCTGCGACAAACACCACGCTCAGGATCGCTGAAAAGCTCCTGGCCTGGGATCTCCGACGGAAGTCCACTCAGGCGGATGGATATGGCGAACGATGGAGCCCGGCCCCCGCGGCCAGTGAGCCCTGCGGTTGGGAAGTACCGAGACCCGTCGCCACTTTTTGAGGGTTACGACGGTGGCGCTTGGGATTTCGGGGGCCGTTCGTTCGATTCCGAATGCATCCGAATGCAATATGAACATGTTGGCATGAACTTTGTTAACCCGTAGGAGCAAGAAGCTACTAGGTGGAGGCCATCGCTATTAGGTTGGAGGCCATCGCTACTAGGAACAAGAACCTACTACCATGTTGGCACCTTCAACGCTGCAGGCAGCTCTCTTCGCCTGGCAGACGGTGATATTCTCACGGCGCCATGCGTATCGCTTTAAGGACACTGGGCTTTGGTCCATTGAACCTACCCGAGGGCGGGAGGGCAACATGCTTCAGACAATCTGGGTGCTTTACCCAGCAGCACTAAAACAGGAAGGGGAGGGAACGTTGTGAGCAAAACTCTGCAACCGGTTAATTGAACGCTTGAAGGTAATGCAGGTGGGTGGAGAATGGCTGCAACAAACGACAGGACCTCCAAGAGGCAAACTGGTGATCCCCTTGGACACCGCAAGCTGTCTTGAAACGAACTGACAGGTGCCCCGAACTGGAACCCCTTAAGCATGTAAATATTTCATGTTTGAGAACGAAGGCCTGTCAATGTTCCCGCGCATCTTATTGAGGTGAGCGGGCTAACAGAAGTGAACGCTACTAGTAACAAAGGGCATTTCTACTAGGAGCAAGGATGCGACTAGTAGCTCCTGGCCTTACTACTAGGAGCAAGAGGCTACTAGTAGCAAGGCTCTTTCTACTATAGTGGCGATCTAAATGCCGAAGAAGTTCGTGTTTTTCGACGCTGCCTTATCAGCGGGTCCCTTGCAAGCAATCCGCGGGTCCAAGCGCCGAACGAAGAGCCAGCATACACATATATTTAGTGCAATATAAATGGCACACGATGCAAAACATCGCATAGTAAGAGAGTCACGACTTTGGGCTGTGGAGAACATTTGTAGGAATTTTCGCATCAACTGCTGTGTGATTGCTGCGTTTAGGTGGCTCAGGTCTGGCACAGCGAACACGAAGCTGGGAACCCTCCGAACCTAGTCCTGCCCCAACCTGGAAAGTGTTGGAAAGTGTTCGGAAGCACTTCTGAAGGGTTCGCAAGACCAAGTGTTTCAGCAGCACTGAGTCCCCAGCCTCCCCTACCAGGCCTATTTGGACGGACGGAGCCAGACAGAGTTGTTAGAGGCGTGGCCACCAATCTGGGGCACTTGCAGGGACCAACGTCAATTCTTTTGGTCTTCCGTATTTCCAAACGTTTATTTTTCGTGGTCGCCTCAGAAAAGGTGTGGGACTGCCTTCGTTGGTTTTTGCGAACGATGTGATCTGCGTTTCATCAGGTCAATCAGCTGAGATGCTGTGACATTGCTGCTGTGACATTCCTGTGGATGTAGGTGAACATTGCAAATCCACAGATCATGGTGCAGTTGTCATGAGGTAGGTGACCGGTGTCCTAGAAATTTGCTTGGCAAACTGCTTGCAACTTAGCCCAGGAGTTCCATCCCTTTGACCGCCTCAGGCGGTCTTCCAAGCCTGGCGCCACACGGTGCTGCAGATCTGGTCCACAGCCGCAGAGGGGCGATTGCGACGGCCACTTGGCAACCACGACGGCTAAATGGGTTTGTACATTTGGCAAGTGGAATCTCACCACAACCCTACCACAACCCTACCATAACTGTGGTGGAGTCGATTTAACTGGTAGGGAGGGTACAAGACCATTTATCTTAAGCATTTATGGTGGAGTCGATTTGCTGAGCACACAATTGCAAGTGGAGTCTTTTTAGTGCCCCCATCGGGATGAGTTATAGCCTAGTGGATTACGGCGCTTCTCGGAGCGGACCCTTTCGGTTCAGGCCAAAAGCAATGATTCGGGATGAGTCGACCATAGATTCAGGTTTTCGTCAATGCCTTGATGTGCTGACTCTTGGGGCACTGACTCGCACGTCTCCTGAGGTTTGACCAGATCCTTTTGAGAATTTCTGCACGTCTCCTTGCAGGAGCATGAAGGAGGAAGATCAGGTCCAGGCAAAGAACTTTCGCTGCATCCACCAAGATCCAGCTTGTTTGTAACAGCCCGTCACAAACCTTTATATATTTTTGCCGTGAAAGCAACATGGACATCCACTATTAATAGGGTAGCTTGGTACAGGGACTTGAAGCTCTCGTAATAAACAAACTAGGTTGGTCAAGTCATTATGCCTTTATGCTATCTAAAATTGATGACAGGAGAGTGTAGACTGGTTGGACATTTTCCGCGTTTTTTTCTTTTTTGTGCACTTCTTGCTAGTTTCATCCCATCACCAGTGTTGTGGATGGGTCAATCATTTGGGAGATTCTGATCAGGATGATCAGGCACTCAGGGCCAGACGGTATTAGGGCCTTTAATTCATTACACATCATCATATAATTCGGGCTGGAAGATGTATGGGCGCACCACTGCTTCCATCAGCAATGATGACAGTTCAAGAGTTTCGACAACTTCTCTTTTGGTGACCTGGATTGAACCCTACCTCTACAAGTTATGATTTGGACTCCGTTTCTACCAATCCTGCTAGGAAGTTCTTTGCTTCACCTGCAAGGAGATGGGCGCACCTTGCAACACTTGCTCTTTGCACAGCGGCTCAGTTTGCATTGAGAGAAGCACTATGAAGCTTGCAGGACTAACATTGGACCATTTCATCGTTCATGACCTGCAAAGCTTCCACCCGCACTTCAAAAGGACACCTGATGTATTTAGCTCTTTTGCCCTGAAATACACCAGCTCAGTTACTGCTTCTATTCACATCCGTATTCACTTGTATCCCTGCTGTTCCACCCTTGAAGCGATTGTTGCGGCGCCGAAAACGGTGCGTCCAATGGGCCGCAAAGTGGCCGCAACGGCCAGCGGTCCGTTTTTCCAGGTGGCGCCAGCTCGTGAGACCGAAAGCGATCAAGGCCGGCGGTTTTGGGGAGTGGTTTGGATGTGACCTGCCAAGGCCGCGCAATGGCCTCCAACCCAAGAGCGATGGCCTCCAATCTAATAGCGATGAAGAAATTGAGTCAAATGCCATTAAGTCAATGGGGTTTGTGAAATGCAGTTCTGGGAAAGATTGGGCACAGTGCACCATTTGTGCAAGAACTCTGCGATGCCCGATGTCCGATTCTAGCCAGACATGAGGATTGGAGAACATACTATCGTATGAGTCGGCCAACCCGCCTGGTTCAGAATGGAGGATGCGGGCTATCTCCCTGGACTGACTCACCTGATGTTTTACGGGGTTTCTGAGGTTCAAGACGCCTGTTTTTTGCCAGGCCACAGAGCCTGAAGAGATCCTGAAGCCGGCCCAGGACCGGTTCTTCGCATGCGAGCAATGGCTCAAGAACTCAAAAGACTCAGAAAACCACAGGCGTTTGGACCACATGTTTCTGTACCAACCAGCTTTTTGGTGTACCAGTACCAGCAAACCTCATTGAAGCACCGCACCCAAAGAATGTTTTGGAAGCGTGACTTCACTGCCTGGAATCCCAGACGGCCCTGGCAGGCGCCAAAGAAATGCTGCTGCTGTGTGATGTGAGAGGCATCCGGATGCTGCAAGGTCCCTGGGACTGAATTTGTTCCAGAGAGGTTCTTCCCAGCGGACATGGCCTGGAACAAACGCAGAATAGAAGGAGTCATAGGTGTTCGCAGTTGCATGAGTCTACGGCAAGTGCCATGTTTTGGAATGTTGTGTCACGGATCTGATAAACGATAAACGTATCCGTGTGATATTATGGCATGGCATGGTAAGGCGTGGCATGCCATGAGTTGGTGTGCCATCTTTGAAGCAGCCTTATGGAATCTGATTGTAAATTATCCAAGCAGCAAGTATGAAAAACCCGTGAACACCTGTGCGTCGCTGCGTCGCACTGTCCGCGGAAAGCAGCAAAGCCAAGGTGTATACGGGCCACCGTGCGAAGCACACATTCAGACGGTCGAAGACCTGACAAGAATGACTCAGAATGACTGAGACGTACTCCTTGGCACTTTGGAGGATTCTCTGTCTCCTTGGCACTCACTGAGACGTACTCCTTTTTGCAGCTTTCTTTTGACGTCAAGCTTGTGAGAAGGCTGGGGTGTGCTTTCAGTTTCGAGGGACGCGGAACAGTGTGCAAATGACCACGGACGCGGGCAGCCAATTGCTATGGAATGACATGGCATGACATGATCTTATGAGCGAGAGATAGCGAGAGCATTTTGAGTGGCTCCCGGAGAATGTGCATCATGTTGCTCCAAATAAATTGGGAGCAATATGAAGTAGCACAGAGCTGTGCCAATGCCTGAGCTTCTGCCTGAAGGCAAAGCCATGCTTGCATGCTATGAGCCAAAAAAAGTGTTGCCGAGTGAAGTTCTGGTTTTCCAGCGCGCTCTATCGCATGAGGATGGCCTCAAATTGAAGGAAGACTATGAAACACCCGAGGCAAGAAGGAACTCTCCCCGGAACACCAGAGCTGCTTCAAGGATCCCGGCCCACAGTTTGCATCGCAAGCACACCTGACGTCCGTGCAGAGGCGGCCCAATATGTCCGTGGGCTGGCGACGTCGCTACCCAAAGGCGCTGCCTTGCTGGTCGCCAGGCCCCAAGACGGCCGTCGGTGCGCATGGTCCGCGAGCGGCTCTTTTTTGCTGCGTCATTGGGTCGAATTCCGTTGGGATTTGTCCAAAGGGGGAGCGATTTGATATGGATTGATAGCTTTGAATATGGATGGATTGAGCAGGATTGAGTAATCATGATTGAGCAACCGATCTGGCGATCTGATGCGATCTGGGATTTCAGAAATGACATCGCCTTTAGATGCCCCAAGTCATTTGTGTTTGCAAAAAGACATCTGCCATCACCTGCTAACCTTTCCGAAAAGATCTGGCATTTGCATGCATTTGTCATACTAACCTATTTAGGCATCAAAACATGTTAGACTCACAATTGGCAGCGATATAGAATTCACGCAATTGAATCCTGATCAGAACTGTAAACGCGCAGTTAGTATGTTTGTCATTCTGCTCCAATGTCATGTGCTTTACGTTGCAGTGCCTTTGGCGTTGCAGCAATCACAACTTGGGTAAGTGCTCCAGTGGAAAATATCCAATACCGTGTCGCGATGTGCGTAACAAGAAGCTAATAATAACAAGGTGCATCGCTACTAGTTGCAAGGACGCTGGTAGCCAAGTGCAAAACTACTAGGTAACAAGAAGCTACTGGTAAATGGATACTCCACTCCGTCCACACGCCATGTTCACCACCGTCCCTCGTTCGCCGACTTAGTCGGCTTCCCAGGTGTCGAACTCGATGGCACGGCATCGGCATTTGCAAGGTTTCTTCGAGGTCCAGGAGACGATTCCCATAGACCCCGAGGACCCCGACTGAGACCATCACACGAATGCCACACGTTCTTTTTTTAATCCTGACTTTTGCTGATTTGTAACGATCTTGTGGCTAGGGCTTGTAGGTTTTCTTTTTGGCATGTGTCCATGTGAATAGGGGCCAATTGATGATGCAAGTTCGGCCTCAGAGAAAACCTGTAAGTTGCGAATATGCTAGAAAACGGGGTGCCCAGAGACTCTCGGGATACTCCAGCAGCAACTGCCCAGGAGCCGCTGTTTGGCCCCTGCCTCTACATTTGCCGAAGGCTTTGACAATAGGCTTTGAGCCTTGAAGCTTCCCTGCCCTCATCCCTTGCAATTCTTCGTTGCAGCCACTTGCTGCAGTTTGGGGTGAAGATGCCCAACTCCCCAACTCGCTCAAGGATGAATCGAGTTTGAGCGTCTTTGTTCGAAGGCACAGTCCAGTCGAGCCTTTCAGCAGCAGCGGCACTGCACTGGGGGAATCTGCATTGGAGGTTTCCTCGCAGAACTTAGCAAGAAGATGCTCATGGAGTGAAGATGACTGCAGTAGATCGTTTGCTTCGGCACACGTGCCAAAACCGTTGGAACCGGAGCGCGGTTTCCATCTCCAACTCCGAGGGCACGGTTGAAAGAGCCCAGAGTGAAGAAAGATGAAAAAAGGATGCTGCGCAAAAGAAGCTATCTGAGATGACCTTTGCAACGTTTGGGCCTGTTGGAATGTGGGGGCCTCTTTTGTGGATGAACCATGATGAAGCAAATTCTTGATTCTCATGCAGGCAGCACTACCACCCAAAAGGCCAAGTGAGTCCGGGCGGGAGTGGCGGCCTCAGCCCCGACCCTCATCCATCCGATGAGAGGCAAGATTCAGCCCACGGGAATGCCACAGCTTCTTTTGGTCTTGTTTCTACTAGTAAGGCACTTGTTTCTACTAGTAAGGCACTTGT